TGCTGAACCATTTTGGACTTCTGACCTCCAGAACTCTAAGAGAATAAATTTTTATTACTCTAAGCCACTTAAGTTTGTGATACTTTGTTACAGCAGCAATAGGAGATTAGTACACCCACAGTGCCATAGCTGGGTGATCGGCTCCCATTTATCACCTATGGTGTGTTCCTCAGCAAATGTAATGATAGCGGGCTTCCCTGGTGGCGCAGTGGTTGGGAGTCCACCTGCCGATGCAGGGGACGCGGGTTCGTGCCCTGGTTCGGGAAGATCCCACATGCCACGGAGCGGCTGGGCCCGTGAGCCATGGCCGCTGAGCCTGCGCGTCCGGAGCCTGTGCTCTGCAACGGGAGAGACCACAAGAGGGAGAGGCCTGCGTACTGCAAAAAAAAAAAAAAAATGTAATGGCAGCTATAGTAGACTGAATATCTTCTAAAGCCTTACCGTGGTGCCAGGCTTTTTATCTCTTCCTTTTCACCACAGCTCTGAGAGGTAAGAAATTTATTGCCTATTTTACAAATGGAAGAGTGAGGCCCAGGAAGAGGAAAGTGCCAGCCAGCTACACGTTGCAGGGCTAGGACCAGGAGCCCAGGGATTTTTGTCTGTCTTGTTCACTTGCTATGCCCCATAGAGCAGTGCCTGGCACATGGTAGGGGCTCGCTGCATGCTTGTTGAATGAATGAATGTACGTTTCACTGCTTTCCAACAAATACCAGTGTGTCCACTCTATGGGCAGTGTTGGGCTGGGTGTTTACCCTTGTGATTTTAATTTCATCTCCACTACAGACAGACCTGGGAAGAGGTAAGAGCTGTGGCCCGGAGGATCAGGCAATTTGCCTGGGGTGACAGAGCAACCAGGGTCTGCTGGCTCTAGAGCCTTTATCCCATGGGGCAGGCCTCCTGCTCAGGGTTGGGAGCTGATCTCTGGGTCCCTCAGCAGGTGCCCAGGGGAGCAGAGCCTGGGTCCTACCTGCAGGGAAGAACCAGAGAGGGACCAGGGCTGAGGCTACTATGTTCATTCTTGTTGCATCAGGACACAGGTCTGTACTACCACCGGTACCTCCAGGAAGTCATCAACGTGCTGGAGACAGACGGGCACTTCCGGGAAAAGTTGCAGGCTGCCAATGCTGAGGACATCAAGGTGCGGCTGGGTGAGAGCACACTGGGAGGGCATGCATGCTCAGAGGGCAGAATTCCAGAATGGACCAGGTTCCCTGAAGGGGAACCTTCCAGCCATCACAAAACTGAGACTGGGGAGAATTCACTTCTCGGGGTCACATAGCTTGGAAGGGATCTGGGGAAGACAGAATGTGTGGTTAAGTGTGAATGTGGATGGTACATGCCTCCCAATATCAGCTCTACCAGCTGTGTGGCCTCCCTTCACTGTGCCTCAGTTTCCCCATCTGTAAATAATAATAGAACCTGCATCATAGGACTATCCGAGGTAAGACGTGTAAAAGGCATGGATGTGCACAGTGGCCATTCTCAGCGCAATTTGAGGGCTGGTTCTGCGAGTTCTCAGCACAGTGCTTTCTACACAGGAAGAATTCAAAACACGGGAGATGCTGTCATCACTCACATCATCTCTAACTTTCATGTTAGGCCTCTAGAGGAGCTGTGATTCTCCTCATTTTACGGAGGTGGACACTGAGGCCCTAGTAGCAGTGTTTGTCCTTCCTGGAGGCCTGGGTCTCAATCCCTGGACTGACTGAGCCCAGAGCCCACATCCCACCCCATCCCCCAAGCAGTGTTCCTCGGAAAGGATGCTGACACACATACACACACACACATACACACACGCCATGAGGAGACAACACTGCCTGCCACCACCCCACCCCACCTAGACTCCCCTCCCCGTTCAGGTACATGTTGGAATATCCCACCTGGGGGATCCACCCCAAGTTCTCCAAACACCTTGGCCCAGAGGAGGCCCCAGGGCCTGGGACTGATGGGGGGAGGGCAGCCCTGCTCTCCCCAAAACCTCCCAGCATTCCTTTGGCTCTTGTCCATCCCCATCCACCTGACCCCCGACAATGGACGGGCATAACTAGAGACTGCTGAGCCCATCCCATCCCCCTGCCCAGCTGAGGAAACGGAGGCCCTAGAGGCCGCCCAGCTTGTCCAAGGTCATACAAGTGGGAAATGACATCAGAAACAGTGGCCACGTAGGCAGGCAGGCTCTGGAGTGGGACAGTGGTAGGTTCCAATCCCAGCTCCACCTCATGCTCTTCTGCACAAGTGGTCACACCCCTCTGTACCTTGGTTTCCTTCTCAGAAAATAGGGAGGCTCATGCAGTACTTTCTCTGTTGCGGGGAGATGGGGGTGGGGTTGTGTGAATCAGCGATAATCCCCACTTTGAGGCTTTGGTCCAGCCTGTCATCAGCCTTCAGTAAATGTCAGTTGTCCTTGTTACTGGTGGTGATAATCTCAGCCCCATTTTTGAGGTCCAGGGTAGGGAAACAGTGTGCTAGGGTCACACAGTGCAGTGGTGCCAGGACTGGGATTTGAACCCAGGCCCCAGGACTCTCACTCTGGGGAGACATGACGCCACCTGTGTCACCAGGCTGGAAACTGGCCTCCTGTCCTCACTGTCTGAGGAACCTTGGGCCAGGAGCTTCTCCTCCTGAGCCTCAGTTTGTTCATCTATAAAATGGGGTTGTGGGCAGGATTAGAGGATGGACTCAGTGAGTGCAGGGCAGGACTTGACTCATCATAGGTGCCTGACTGGTTGAGGTTAACATGACTGGCACTGCGGTCCCTTTGTCCTGCCGCCTCTGCAAAGGCCACGCCCCCTGCAGTCTGGAGAGACCCAAACGAGTGGCTGAGAAAGCCATCTGAGACAGTGCAGGGTGCTGGGGTAGCCCGGAGGAGGGACCCAGTCCATCTGACAGTGAGAGAAAGCTTCTAGGGAACAGATTCTCCCGAGTGAGGTTTGAATTCTGAGTGGGAGTGTCTGGTATAAAAGTTGAAACGGGGGTGG